AATGATAAAATCAAAACAAAACATTCGTATCAATCGAAAAATAAAAGATAGTCTACTTACAATTCGGCAAATCTTTGTTGGCAGTTATTTTACAACGATTATCGATATCGCAGTAATTATTTATTAAGCATGATTCTATGAGTAATGAGTATTTTGTTTATCTTATCTTGAAATCTATTCATATTGTACATCGGGCTTATCTTTTATTGTATGCAACGTGCCGTTAGCACGCATCGGTAAAATGTCTGCCGCAGAAGTGGCATTTACAGATTAATTATTGATCAACCGCCGAACACAATTAAGTTTGTATTACAATATAACTTAAATATTTTCATCCATATTATATAATGATGCATGTTGATGATAATAATGATGATGGTGAAAATAAAATGTATACGTGGTAGAGCTACGCTGCAGCTATATTATGGTTGTAGGTTGTAGCACGAATAGGTTGGCTCTACCGGGGAAGGACCACGCTCTCACAGAATGCCAGCGTGAAATAGGAGCTTAATACTGCTGTGTTTCGTATGGTGATTGTTGAGATCCGGAGAGTCGTTTTTACTGGAAAAGAGGCATTCCATATTAGCCCTCAGGGGTGACAACGCATCTCCGTTTTGATTCTAAATCGAGGATAAAAATGTAGATGTATATGGGCCACAGCATCTATTCAAAATCAGGTGTGCTATGTGCTCGTTTGTCACCTATATTTTATAAAAAAATATCTTTAAGTAAATTCATAATATTCAAACAGAAATATACATACATTTTATGTAATAGGTAAGTTCAAAATTAACCATTTGTACTTGATGTTTTATTTTCCATTAAATTGTGGCGATGCACGTAGCTTTCAGCCAAAAAGAATACATCAAACGCTTAGAAACCTTATTTATTATATCAATATGTAAATAAATGTCTCTACAATATGCTAGTGAATCAATTTTTTATAAAGTTTTTATGACAGCTTCAGCCATCAGACAATGGATACAATAGCAGTATCTCAATGCACTTAAGAAAACAAAATAACTTTTCTACTACCATTGTAGCAACTGTTTCATCGTTTTCCCCAATAATTTAATTTTGGACACAAATTTGCACCACTTTTAGCCCACTTCTTAAAAAAGAGCAGGATCTGAAATCGAATGTATTTTTTTTTTTTGTATTAATCTTTGTAACTCTATATTATCCTCGTCGATTTTGGACTGATTTGGTAAGTCTCACATGAATTCCCAGAAAAAAATTCCACACATAAGCGTGGAAAAAAGGAGATAAAGTTTTTAATGTTACTATTTAGGCAACATTTCAGCAAGGAATATCTGGTCCTTAGTCCATTCAAAACCTAAAAAGAATAAGATAATTTCCGCATAATAGCTTCAGAATTCGGGATATTAATGTTTCTATACACAGTATCTTAACATCGACTTCGGTAGCGAATATACGGAAGTTATTCCAATCTCTTTATTTTTGAAGCCGTGTTTTACTTATTATTACAGTGCAAGTGTATCTAAATACACTTCAAACTATTATTTAAAGGATTAAACGGGACATCACAACGCACGACGACACGACGTTCAAGTTCCCGCTAAAAACCTCTTAATTGGTGACTTCTGATATTATGTTGTTTACTCATTATAAAAGCTCTGCATAGGTCAAGGAACTTGTTTGGAGATCCAGTATTTTTCCCTCGCTTTATTTTTAACACTAATTGGCTCATTTCGCTTTACGTCATCGACTTTCCGATATTAAAATAAATTATAAAATCTTTACCATACTACTAATTAAAAATTTGAACAAATCGACTATCCTCTATGTAATAAAAAGTATTCCCATATTCATCTAAGTTTCTTATTAAAAACCCCGTTTGATTAAATAAATTTAAAAAGAAAACAATTTCATTTATTTGCAATTTATTCATCACTCAACCTCAATTAATTTATTTGCATTTCCAATTAAACAATATAACTCTTCCAAATTTAATACGATACTTCCACAATTATTTCTTCTGCAGCTGCAATGCGCCGGTTACCAGCTAGTAATTAATAAAGTGTCAATAAGAATTTTTAATATTAATTAATTTAATTAACAAAACACACAAATATTCATAATTATATTTATATTATATACTGTCGTTGTCTATAAATATAAATTACGTCATAATACATGATACATATGCTATGCTCGGGGTGTCTCTGCGTAAGTAATCTAATATTTATAAAAATAAACTTAGAAATGAGGATGTCCACAGTAGAACCAGAGTGACCGACATAGCCCAACGGATTAGTAAGCTGAAATGCCGGCCATATAGCTCGAAGAACCGACAACCGATGAACAAAAAAAGTTCTCGAGTGGTAGCCTCGTACCGGTAGGCGTAATGTAGGGCGAAGAGGGTAAGACATGCAGGAAGTCGATGTATGCAGGTGACTCAGGACCTTGGTTTGCTGTATTCCTTTTGGGAGGCCTATGTTCAGCAACGGGCTTGTGTTGGGCTAATGATGACGATGATAACATGAAACATCATTAACGTTCTATAAACCACGATATCATCCATTTTAGATCCATTAATGGTAACAGGTTTCAATAGAAGTCATCATTTCATCTTAGACTTATTAAAATTACGTCACCGGTATGAATTCTCTTTACCAACAGTAGATAAATTGGACGTAATATTAACTATGAACAGGATTCGAACCCCTAATTTACTCATAAAAGGTTATGTTTGGTAAAATGGAGACGATAAACGAGACGAGCAGCTGAATACAAATATACATATTAGAGTGGTTATCTGTAAGGAAGAAGTGTTTGAAATACAAGTTATACCGCGTACAACATTTCAATAATATTTTAATTAGATTTAGGAACAATAATATGAAAAATCACATATACATATACGAATTCCAAGATATCTCAAATATGAATATTACGCCAGAACTTAAGCTACCTATTGTTTCTGTTCTAACAAAAATAACACAAAGTATTTGATATTGGCATCAAGGTTTATATTTGGCAATCAATAATAATTGAAGACGTACGATCCTATATCAGATTTAAGAAACTATAAAACAGGCAAACGTTTTGATCTTAACACTTTTACCTAACACTTTTATCCGAAACCGACAATCCCCATTCCCTACTTATAGCAACAACATTTTACTAACGTTACAAATTAAACTTAGCAACAGTTCGAAGAGAGAAAAAAGTACTAGCCAGTAATTGTACATTTAGTTTTTATTGTAAAAAAAAACTTTATTAAATGATTGTGTGTATAGATCGTTCCTTTTGTGTTGTCAAGGTTTGCGAAAAGTTTACAAAGCTAACAAAATATAAAAACGGAAAATCACAATAGCCGATAGAAATAGATAACTTTTAATTCCAAATCTACACTTTTTTAATATAATATATAAACATTATTGCTTCTTCCGTGGTAGTAACTTAAAATTTCAGGCTAACATGCAAGAAAATAGTCGAAAGTCCAATATATTAACAGTTATGATACGACGCAAAATATTTTTTTTAATGAGCAAAAACGTGAGCGGTATACTTTAGTCCTTATCCCAGGTTCATTCACTAATCAAATAAATTTTGTTTTGTTTTATTCCTAGAACATTATCGATTTAAACATAATCTAAGAATAATAGAAACGTGTACATAAAGACATTGACTAAGGAGGAAAGCAAAAAAAAATTACAGTATTAAGTACACAGTATTAAGCCGCGGTAGTTAATTGAATACATGTTGTTCTTCTACAAAGCTTTTTGATTAAATTCTCGTAGATTGCGTCCATTGAAGCGTCAGAGCAGATAATCAAAAAACGATATCAATTTCGCATTTTAATATAAATGTATAACTATTCAGTGCAGCTTTGAAATTAGTATTAAAATAATCAATTTTTTCCCTGTGACTCCGACAAAATGCAGATAAATAAGCAATAGCAAAGATGATAGTAATTATGATAGTAATGATGATAGTAATGATGATAGTAATGATGATAGTAATGATGATAGTAATGATGATAGAATGTAGATAATAAGACAGCGGCGGACGTGTTGAGGCGGCTTTAGAGGAACCAGGACCAGATCACCTAAGATATTCCAGAAAGATCTTAGAGCTTGACTCCTAAAATACCCAGATTTCGAATGCACGTCAAATTTGCGTCGAAAAACCACAGATGTGGAAAAGGTCTGATACTGGGTTAATTTATCCGCCTACCAAGGGTGCAAATTTTTCCACCTGAAGGTTTGAATAACCTTCATAACCTTTTGTATGTTTTTGCCAAATGTTTTTAAATTATGACGATTTTTAAACATACGTGACCATGAACACGATGCTTGCATGTAACGCATTAAATTGTTTTTAAGTAGATTCATATGTCGGCCAAATTAAATGAGTATTCTTTGTTCTAAAAACATTTAAACCAAACTCTTTTCTTTACCTCAAATCTCTTCGTAACCCAGCATTAACAATCATAACGTTAAATCATGGCATCTAAATTTGATGAATAACCAAAACTATATAGAAAATTGTGAAGAAGATTGTTTTGAAATTCACGTTAATTTAGTAATCAATGAAAAAGTTTACGTGCCGGATTGTACAAGGCATTTTAGCCTGCATGTCCTCCGACTGATCCTATCGCACTATGAAAGTAAGGAAATAGATGTGCTTATGTACAACCTCGTACTTTATATGCGCAGTCACCGTTTAGTTGGCCGCCGTAATCGAAATTCGGTATGAAGGACAATATTATTAGAAGATTGCCGCAAGGTTAAGAAATAACCCTGACTGACTCCGGGCTACTACTGATAATTTCTAGATTCTAGGTTCTAGGCAGAAAACCCAAATACCGTTTTGACTCAACTCGGGATTCAAATCCAAGACAGAGAGGAGGCACTAGTGTCAACTATAATACAATTTATGAGGAAGGTCTATGTTCAGAAGTAGCTCTATGGATTTGGTTGGGAGCAATGAATACATGAAATATTAATAGTATTCATTGTCTTTGTTCACAGTTTCATTCCGTTACGGACAAGCGGTCGCAGGGTAACGAGTGTGGAGAAAACAGTGTTACCATAGTGTCGGAGAAAAAGATAGAAGATGATGCATCAGACTCATCTAGCGGCGAGAATGTTGAAATTGAAGGTATGTGTACTAATTGATAGCTGATTTGGAACTAGGGTCTCAATACGTAAGACAGTTAACCGATTAATGTAAAACCTACGATTAAGGCATAATAAACGGGCACATAGTTTGATAGGAGTAGATGATGTGGTTCGTGGACTGCTATGTGTATCCTAGATTAAGAAACGAAAATTTTTCATTACATATAAACGAAGGCGTTTATGGGAATATATATATATATATATATATATATATATATATATATATATATATATATATATTATAAATTGCATACATTTACTATCATTTGGATTGTGTGCTTGTTTGTTATAATATTCTGTTACTTTGAGAACTATGACGGAGAACCCCGCTTATAATAAAATTTCCTTTAGACTGGAATAAAGCAATGTTTCCACTGTTGCTAGGTGGCAGAAATACAGTAAAAAGTTCGTACATAGTCTGGCGGACTCCTAGTACTTAAAGTAGAGCGACAACGGGCAGTGCTCTGAGGAATTGTTCCGATTAATTCCAGCCGCCAAATTTCACGAACGCAAATCGCGACAAAACTCATGATACCATCTACACCATCTGGATGCTTGGCGGTCCACCACTGTACGTTATACTAGGAGTATTCTTCCTCGCACAACCACTTTGTAGAAATTTACCACTGGCAATTTTACCAGATCGATACGAATTAGGGACCTTCAAGAAAAGAACTCACTCCTTTCTAAAAGGCCATCAACTCACCTGCAATTTCCCTGGTGTTGCAGTTGCTCAAGGGCGGCGGTAGTCACTTACCATCAAGTAAACCATATACTCGTTTGACCCCTTTTCAACGTATATAACTTCGTAACGGTCAATATATGTACAACGTCAACACACGTATATGTAAGAATAACGACTCCGGTGCTTGCATTTGCCGTGTTCAATGCCAGTTCTCGTGCATTGCCCCTTGTCAATGAACCTAGAACCTTAGCCTCAATGAAAAAGATTATCTTTTTATCATTATTATCAATCAAATGTACTTCCGTGGTAATTTTAGAAATTAAAATGAATGAGTTTTTTATTCTTTGTTTAAAAAAGGAGTCGTCATTAAGTAGGTTATGCCGCCCTTGTACATAGTCGTTTTAATTTCTGGCATTGGTTTTTGTATATGGAGCCTTCGCCGATGCAGAAAATTAATCGGCTAAATCACTTTGCCAATCAAAATCAACCAAAAAAATTTTTTAGGGAAATCCACCAACTTACTCGTATCACCTACAAAATTTTGGGAACTAAAACAATATGGGTGAAATACAACCTTCCACAATACACACAAAAGAGATTTAACATGTGAAACGTCTGGGACTGTAGTTTCTTCTGCGTGTTTAAGTAATTTAAAAATATTTAATTTAAGCCTGAGTTAAATATAAAACAACCGTCATTGTTTACATTAACACTCATCTTTTTGCCTTACTTGTGCAATATTTGAAGTCATCCGTTTCCTTTAAAATTACTCATGACATTCCATAGGCTCTTAAGATTTAATCAAAATTCAGACGCGTAGTTTGCGCAACTTTAAGATAGTCAACGTTGCAATATTGACTAATTTAATTTTGGATAATGGTTAATGATGACCACTGATACTTCATGTACCTGACTAAATATTTATCAAAATTAGTACATAGTAAATTGTACTTATCGTGTAGTGACGGTGTAGGAATATCCACTACCCCATATCATACCATGGCCGTCGTAAGAGGCGACAGAGGGAAACTATTCAGGAGATGGGCAGCAGCGTCCTACTGGCAACTATGGCAAATATCCCCCTATAAGACATTATAGACCTCCCCCAAGGAATGTCACAAAGCACGGTCCTGAGTCACCTGCATCCATCGACTTCCTGCATGTCTTACCGGGTCGTCATTCCATCTAGTGGGGGGATGCCCTACACTTCATTTGCCGGTACGAGGCTGCCACTTGAGAACCTTTTTCCCCATCGGTTGTCGGTTCTTCGAGCTATATGGCGAGCCAATTGCCACTTCAGCTTACTAATCTGTTGGGCTATGTCGGTCACGCTGATTCTACTGCGGATATCCTTATTTCTAAGTTTATCACACAGAGAAACCCCGAGCATAGGGCTCTCCATAGCTCGCTGAGCAACCTTGAGCTATCATACGGCCAGCAGTGAAGGACCACGTTTCAGATGCGTAAGTCATCACTGGCAACACGCACTGCTTGAACAATCTAGTTTTTAGGTTTTGAGGTATACCTGTGTTCAGCAGTGGACTTGTAAAGGTCTATAATTTTTTTACGTGGTAGAGCCATGCTGCAGTTATATTAGCTGTAGCACGAATGGGTCGGCTCGACCGGGGAAGGACCACGCTCTCATATAATACCAGCGTAAAATAGTAGCTTAATGCTGCTGTGTTTCGTATGGTGAGTGTAGAGAACCGGAGACCCATTTTACTGGAAGCGAGGCATTCCATCTTAGTCCTCACGAGTAACAACGCATCTGCATTTTGATTCGTAATCGAGGATAGATGTAGATGTCCATGGACCACAGCAACCACTTACCATCAGGTGGACTTTGTGCTCGTTTGTCAACCTATCCTATAAAAAAAAGCTTAATGCTGCTGTGTTTCGTATGATGAATTTAGAGAACCGAAGACCCTTTTTACTGGAAACGAGGCATTCCACCTAAGTCTTCACGGATGACAACGCATCTGCATTTTGATTCGTAATCGAGAATAGATGTAGATGTCATCCTATCTTGTAAAAAAATTTATGATGATGATGATAAGGAAGACATATATGGGGAGGTCTACGTTCAGCAGTGGAATTTAGTAGGCTGTAACGATAACGTTAATAACAGTATCAATGAAGATAAAACATCAGCTTAGTACCGGTTTCGATACCAAGCTGATGTTTTATCTACATTTCCTCCGGATTTCTTCATCAGCCCGTACCCCGTAGGTGTACTGCTGGATACTGGTGTTTTCCGTTGTATGAAGGACTTGTCTTAATCATCACGCTTGATGCTGATGATCGTAGTATCGACATTTGCAACCTTTGACGCTGATGAGAACCGTTAAACTTTTAATAAAAAGCAAAATCCGGTTTCAGAAATAAAAACAATAAAATAATTTTAATTTAAAATTATGTATAATAATATAATTAATCTTAAGTTTAAATAAGCTCAGGTTCAAACAAGAATCAGTTTCAATAAAGAAGTTTTGTGGGAAATGTGAATTAAAATACAAAGTATGGCATTTCACAGCATATTTTAATTTTCGCGAAGACTGTGGCTGTGGCATTGCTGCATTATTTCGTAACAAAGGTCGTTATACCAAAGTTGATCACTAAGCTACGTTTTGTAATAAGACCGATGTCTTAGCCCAGACTTCAAAAGTAAATATTATTTGGAAATTAGTTTTAGATTTTGAACCCGATTTTTCTGTTTATTAAACGTTTAATTAGATATTTTCGTCGATATCCTTGTTGAAGTCAATACATTTTCAACTAATAAATATTAAAAAATTTACAAATAATTCTAGGTCAATGAAATTGTAATATCTATACCGTGAACTAGGTGTATGATTTCATCTTTTAAGATTTTAATATCAATATCTGAGAGATTGTTATCTCTGATAAACTAAATGAGTGAGTTACAAATTCCGGTTACTTTTCTGGTAATTTAACATCATTTTCTACGTCATCACGAATGGATCCGTGTATGAGTCATGTCATGACCGTTACCCATAACGTCACTCCCGTGATAAATTTAACAGGCTATATGTGACGTGATGTGACAGTGTACTTCAATATTGCATCATCTAATAATAGTAAGAACAATAATTCCTTTTTATTTTAGGATATTTCTATTGTGTTTCATCTGGTTGGGATATGCAAATACTTATAAATATATATTAAACATAAATAACATACATATTTAATTTTAATATATACATATACATATATATATATATATTCTATATTGAACTAATTATTGTTAAATAAATAGATAATGCCCAATCAGACGGAAATCCTCCTTCAAATGGCTGAGGATACTTTTTAATTTCAGAAATAATGGGTAACATTAACAAAATGTAAAATATTAGAAATTACGGTTAGTATCAAATTAACTCTGAAAGACTTGTCTCCGTCCAGTATTTTACATATAAAATGCTATCAAAGCAATTCAAAATAGTTTCCGGGATATTGGCGACCTCGTGTTCGCTCATCAGGGATGCTAATGTAACCACTGGTTGACTCCGTCCACAGAATAGCTAACCCAGTTTTAAATTCACGCGTGCGTTCGTGTGTTTCACTCATTAATGTTCGTATATTACAAAAACAACAAGAACTATAAAGAATCCTTGACTTTAATATCGTTATACGCTATAAAAAATTCAAGAGCTTTTGAGTTAATCAGATAAAAATATTTTATTCACTTACTCAATTTTACCTATAGTTATCAGTACCTATAGTTATAGCACTTACAGGTCAGCTCTACCTGGGAAGGACCACGCTACCACACCAACGTATAATAGCATCTTCTTTCTTCTGGTAGCTAATACAGAAAAAAATAAAAAATACCGCGGTTGCCAGCCTGCCTATTGAATGTAGAAAATATGGCACCTAACCACAGAACCTCCCTCATAAATTGCCTGTGGTTTGTCTGTAATATTTTTTTAATCGAATAAGGGTGACAAATGACCACACTTTCCACCTGATTGTAAGTGGATGCTGTGGCCCATAGACATCTACATTTAACCTCGATTAAGAATCAAATGCAGCTGCATTATATAACGCTAGGATGGAATGCCTCGAATCCAGTAAAACCCCTGAGGACTAAGTTAGAGTGCCTCGTTTCCAGTAAATAAGGGTCTAATTAATAAATGGACTCTAATAACAATTTATAGATAAAAATGTTACAAATCTATTTATTTTGTGTGAGAATCCATTATGCTTATAATATGTAACATAATTAACGCACTTTGAGAAAGTAGTTTGTTCAGAATCGTTTACTGAATTGATTC